GTGTGTGTGTGTGTGTGTGTGTGTGTGTGTGTGTGTGTGTGTGTGTGCAGGTATTATTGTGACTCCTTTGATCCCTCTCTTTGACTGACTTCTGTTTGCTCTAATCTTGTCTTTTATCTTTTTTTCTTTTTTTCTCGTTCACTTGAACAAAACTGCAACCCGCGCTCGTATTTTCAATTAATTCCTTCAAATTCCAGACTTGAAAGATAATTCTTGGCTCAGAAATTTTCACTTTTGTTTGGGTCTTCCTGCAGCCGGAGCCGATCACCAGGCGCCGCTGGCTGCGTTTCCTCCCGTTCTGACCTTCCTGATGGCGCCTCCTCCTCCTCCTCCAAGTACCAGTCCTTCCTGCTTCGGGTCTTTAAGGCCGCGCTCCCTGTCCACTTGCTCCTCCTGCTCCTCATCGGCCTGGCCTGCCTGGTTCCTATGACGGAGGAGGACTACAGCTGCCACCACGCCAACAACTTCGCCCGCTCCTTCCATCCGATGCTGCGCTACACCAACGGACCTCCACCCATATGAGGAGACGAAGACTTTACCATCTCCTCTGACTCCTGTGAATGTTTTCTCCTCACCTTGTGCCAGCTGAACACTTGACCCGCGTTATGAAGTAATTCAGTAAAATGAAGACTTTTCACATTAACGCTGCACATCCTCCTCTCACATTAACCCTTTAAAAAAAACATTCATCGCCAGAGCGCTCCTCCTCAGTCCAAATATTTCTTGTTTTAACCTAAATGTGTATATTTTTAAAGTTTCTGACAAAAGGTGTGAAATGATTAAAAAAAAAGAAATACTATTTATATTATTTATGTTGGGAGCCAAAGTCAGCTGTGCTTTTCGTCCATGATATATCCAGTGCTGCTAGTATTTATTTAACGTTCAATCAGCTAATGTCTTGTTGGCACTGATTAGGCTAAAGCCCCACCACGAGTGGGTGAGTGGGTGAAGGTGGGGTGTTGTACCTGTAAACTGTAGAGTAGACTTGCAGTTTGAGTAGCAATTATTCAGTCTGGGTGTGAAGAGTTTCATTCCAAAATGACACGTTTGAAGATCTGCTCAGACAACAACAAAAAAAGGGACTGAAACGGCACAAAAACCTTTCTGAACAATGAGCTGTAGCTTATATATATATATATAT